CAAACCTGTAACATTCATTGCTATGCAGATGATGGCACTGGTGATGCTATGTACACCGGCCATGCCAAAATTTCTCGGGAAAACATCTCCGAGTACCGGGAAAAACTTGTATCTGAAGTCGAGTTGTTGCTGAACAGAGTCTCGGATTGGGGGCGACTAAATCTAGTCCAGGTTATTCCTTAGAAGACACAAGTTTGCGCGGAAACCGCTATAAAGAACCCCTTTGTCGTATCTCCCCAGTTTCAATACAGTTCCTTTGTTGTCTCAGCCAGTATCGGAATCCTCGGCGTCGACATATCTAGTAACGTGCAGTTTCGTGGTCACTTGAAAGAGAAGGCCAAATTAGCTTCTTAAAAGCTTGGCGTGCTTAGCAGAGCGGGACAGTATATCATGCCGGCACACCGCGTGCAACTTTACAAGGTGTAGGTTCGGCCACACGTGGAATACTGTTCCCATCTCTGGGCTGTGGCTCCCCAATACCAGCTCTTTCCACTTGACCGCATCTAGCGCACAGCGGCTCGAATCGTCGACGACGGAGTGCTTTCTGATTCATTGGCACTCCAAAGAGATGTTGCATCTCTCTGCGTATTTTATTGCATCTATCACGGGGAGTGATCTGAGGAATTGTTCGGATTAATCCCAGCCGCCAACTTTCATGAACGCACTACGCGGCAAAGCTCCCGATACCATCCACACCAAATGGATGCTTGGCGGTCCACCACTGTACGTTTCACTAATTGTTTTCTTCCGCATACGACCTCTCTGTGGAATAATTTACCGCCGGCAATTTTTCCAGACCGATACGACCTGGGGACCTTCAAGAAAAGAACTTACTCCTTTCTAAAGGGCCGGTAACGCACCTGCAATTCCCCTGGTGTTGCGGTTGTTCATGGTCTGCGGTAGTCACTTAACATCAGATGAACCACCTCCCCCTCTCCATAAAAAAAAATTGGCAAAAAGATATCATTTTTCAAAGATGCTGAAAAACGAGCACATACCGGCCCCCCCCTAAATGTAAGTATATTGGCATCCTTAGAACTAAGATGAAAAGCCTCATTTCCAATAAAATGAGGTCTCGTTATTCACCACAGGAAAGCCTTCTGCTGCTATTTTACGTTTTTTATTTTACGCAATCGAGGTCTTTTCGCGGTCAAGTCGACATATTATACGTATTAAAGTCACAATACGCTGTAGCAAAATTCTTCCACGTAAACAAACTTTATTTTTAACAATGATTTTTGTTTATAAAATTTCTGATTGCTATGATTCAGAAATTTAATTAACATAAATTATTTTGTTAAGATTTAATTTAGATTAAGTGATTAATTTAAAAAATAACTGATAATTCTGATTTACATATTTTAAAGACGTATCTTGAAAATATTTTATAGAATTGCTTGTACTACCACTACTAGAAGAACCACATAACGTACATAGCTCGAAGAAAAAGCTAACATTCTGTGGGGAAAAAGATTCACAAGTGGCAGCCTCGTACTTGTAAGCGAAATGTAGGGTGGCCATCTGCTCGAAGGATTGAGATATTCATTATGTCGATGGATGCAGGTGGCACCATATTTTGTGGTATTCTTTGGAGGAGGCCTATTTTCAGCAGTTGACTTTTGGACTTGTGAAAGGTTGAAATGACGATGATGAACATGATGTAGCATTGGTATAATAGTATAATTTTTAAGATTCTGATAGATAAAATTTCCAGAAAATGTTCTTATTTAGAATAATATGTGAAGATAGTTTAAAATATAGTGTACAGTTGGCGATTACTGTTAACATATGGAATCTAAGCGTCTTGTCACGTATTCGCTACCTCATTCCTATTAATATGTGTTTCGTAATTCTTCAGGTGACAAACGGGAAGTGTCAATAGGTCTTATTTATTTTTCGAAGATCGTCATTGTTCACACTTTATGTAATGGTGTTCAGTGGTATTTTATCCATAAAAGCGAATACGTCACTAAAACAATTATTGGAATAATGATAATTCCACACCAGACGAGCCAATTCTATTCATTATCCCATTTCGTTCTGTGTTCAAGAAGCAACTATGCCGAGGATAGAATACTGTATATCATCTCTTATATTCTAGATGAGTAAATCTCAGACAGGTTAAAGGTGCGGGACACCAATACTGTGAACACTAATCCGTATGCCAAGTGTCGCGGTTATGATAAATATATCCTTAAGAAACGCAATAACCATACTTTTTGAATAAAAATGTAATTTCATTCAAACACAGTGGCAATCTCTTTCTTTTTTACAGCAGTGTGTAAGTCCTGGCAGTCACTCTGGGCGCATTGTTCTGTCCGGCTCAGTCTACTTGAAGACCTCTACCGAAATATTTTGCTTCAGATGTCTGTTAGTATTGAAAATTAATTTATACTGTAATGAATTTTTTGATAAATCTGATAAAGATTTTTTTATTTTTTTTTCTCTTTATTAGGAATAACAAACAATTGTACAATATAATCTTATTATTAAACACAATACTATATTTAAGCTTAATAATCATACAATCAACACCGTTATCCACATATTACCACTGGGTCTGTGTACGTAACAATTAAAAATTAAAATATAATGTTCTATTAAAAACGACCCGTTCACCAATAAATACAGACAAAAACAAACTAATTTACACATATGCATGTACATGTGCACGCATATACATACACACACATATACAAACATTCATACACATATATAGATAATACATAGATGTGAAAAATTAAATTTAACCTAAATAAGCAATTACATTAACTTGCATCAAATTCAGATAGAACCTCATACACAGCTTTTTTATATCTAGAAGAAGTTAATCCAAAGATATCTATGTCATTAAATTTGTTGTTATATAATTCCATTATACGATTTAGAGGTGCACGTGCACCTGCATTTGTTTTACTTGGTTTTGGAGCGAAAATTTGATGTGAATGGAGCTCACGTATACGCTTCGAGCGACTAGGTATACGAATGTATATTTGATTGGTGAGTTCATTACAATCAAATTTGTTATGGCAGATTTTGTAAGCAAAGTTTGATCCAAGAGCATCCTTCTCGATTCTAAAGAAAGAACACTAAATTTTCTTAATAAAAGTTCATTACATTCATTATAATTACTTTTAAAGCATTTGTACATTGTAGATTTTAAAAATTTTCGTTGAACACGCTCCAACTGTAAACTATATTTACTATATATTGGACTCCATATAACTGATGCATATTCAACCTGTGATCTTATTAGAGATTTATATAAAGTTAAAAATGTGGTGGGATGTTTGAAGGAAGAACATGTCCATTTTATTTATCAGATATATCTAATTTATATAAGAGAAGAAAAATATATATAAAACACGTTATAATTACAAGGTAAAAAATAAAAAGTACATTTTGATGGAAAACAATAATTTATTAGCAGAAATTTATTTTAGAAATTATTACTTATCATTAATGGTCGTTACTTTTTTTTTTAAATTTCAACTACTAAATAAGACTAGCATTAGGTACTATTTAGCCTTCATCAAGGCTTTTTCTTATTTTATTTCTTTACTGTTAAAAATATTTTTTTTAATTTGTATTATGTTGGACAGTGGTATATGTTTAGCAATTATTAATATATAATATTGATATTCAGTTGGTTAAAGAAGGTTCTATACAGTAGTTTAAAAAAAACATAAAATTGTTTTCATAATATAAAAACAATACACATATCCTTTTCTTTATAATAATAATAATAAACATTTATTTGCATAAGACATGGTACATTTTTAGTAGTGTACATGCGTGTTTTACCGGTTTATCGGTATGAAAATATTACGTCAAGGGGCAATTGAATAATTAAAATTAGAATAATACAACATTACAATAACATTTCATATTAATTTGAATAAAACAGTAAAAAAAATATACAGGCGTGATCATGTCATAATGCATAATATCAAACTAGTATAATGTCAATCTTACAAACTCTAATTCATTTGTCAATTTAAAATTCCATACATCAACAACAATTCGCTTGAGATGACCGTCATGGCAGAATTTGATAAATTCATTTATGTCATAAAAACAGTTTTCAATCAGAATCCCGAAAATAATTTTTTTAAAGATTAAAGTAAAGTTTTGAATATGGTTCGGAAGTAAATTAAATAGTCGAACGCACATGCTATTATTTATTATAAATGAATAATCACCATGTGGTAGAAAGAGGATTTATTATTTTGTTTTATCCTATAGGAGTAAGTCAGACAGATGTCATGATCTCCGAGAGAATACGGTATCCACCTCATATACACCAGATTTAAAAATACGCAAACTGGCGACAGGGTGCAGTGTGAATATAACAAAACTTCTGGTGACTAACTGGAGACTAACTAAAATCCCTGATTGAGAAGATCACGGCAAATCCTACCTACAATAGGAGAGGTTGTCCATGTCCGGCGGTAGGCGGTAGGGCTAACTTTAAAGTACATTTTCTGCACCTATTTACAACGTGCTTTGCAACGAAGAAAAATATCGTGGATAAACAAAAACTTTATGTTATACTTAACTAATTTTAAATACTACATATAATGTTATAGCTTAAGAAACTTTAAATCAAGAAAATCAAACGGGAAACATATCAATATCAAATATAACATCTACCTACTTCTTTTATAAGTTGTTTTCAATATATTAAACGCAGACATTACATAAGTTTGACTACTTATCATTTATTTTATAATTTATTAATACTGAAAAACCTTATTTCTAGTAAATGCAAATTCATTTTTAGGTGCTCACCTGTACACACTGTGAATAATTAACAAGCTGAATATATATAGGTACGTTATATCTACGACTCGTAGTAATCGTAAATTAAAAGATTTATTAGTTACTAAAGAAAAGTACGTGACATGTGTACATTGTTATTTGGCTTCTGAATTGACTTACAATGAGGACATTAAAATATGTTTGGCAAGACGCGTTATTAACCTACTACTAATTTGTATTTAGGCAAATAAATCAGGCTGTGTTGTTTGGTTTTTGCTTATTTCAATATAGTCGACAACTGCCCAGTTATCTTCTGGTTCATCAGGCATTTGTGGAGGTAAAGCTGCGCGTGCCAGTGGAGAGCCCACTTCATCGAGCGATAAGTACGCTCGAATCGCGGCAGCAGCAGATTCGTCGTCCATTGAACGCGCCCGCGCGTTGAAGGCTCCCCCAATGTCTTGGCTAGGTAAATCCCAAATGTGCCATTGAGGTGTCATCTTGAAGTTCTGTGTTTAATTAAATATTTTTAACGAAATGTAACAAAGTAGATATGTATGTAATCTATTTAGATCGATGTAAATGTACGTTACTGTTAAACAATCGAATAACCTAATAATTGCTTTTTACAAATGTTCAGTATACAAAACAAATTACACGAATAATAGCGCAACAAGATTTTACTGTTGCCGTCGAAAATATAAATTTACACGAACAATATCGTCAGTGACATTACTGACCAGAGCTTGGACCTACACTAATATAGTAAAATGCATCCAGCTAAATTATAACGAAGCTCTTGGAACTACTTAAATTTTGTTGAAATAAACAGATAGCTAAAAAAATTAGCTTCCATATGCGATATAAAAAGTCTCTGATACTTGTTGTTTAATGGAGTTATTACATGATATTACATACATATCTAGATAGATAGATGATATTTTAATCAATAAAATTTCTATATCTTGCATTATAAAATAATTTCGAAAAATCTTTAAGGTAATTAAGGAAAAAGAACTGCAATATATACCAATGTGTTATTTATTATCAGCCATAATTATGATAATAATACATTAAGGATGTTAGAGAACTTCTCGCTGTTCTTTTCAACACATTTCATTTTAGTTCAATTCTTCACAACCCAACTACACATCACAACTAGTTTGGCAAAAAGTTGCTTTTGTGAGACATCAACAGTGCATTTTTGACATTGATTAAGCAGTATAAATATATCTAGGGGAAAAGAGTATTAATAAAATTACAAGAGATAAAATATTGACAGATGGATTAATTTGACTAGACAAAAGCGAGATTAAATAAAATATTTGAAGAGGCCTTCATAAGCGGCCTTCATAGTTGCCTTTGAAAGTAGTAATTATAATGATTTTTTTATTTGTATTAAGTATGGTAAACGAGTACACAGTCTACATGAAAAGAACCCGTAAACACTATATCTACCCTCAATTAAGAATTAAAATCCGGGTGCGGTATCACTCCTGAGGACTAAGATTAGGTGCCTTGTTATTAGTGAAAAGGACCTCTAGTTCTATTTTTCCATCGTAAAAACACGGGAACACTTTGCTGCTATTTTGCACGGGTATTCTGTGAGAGCGTGGAGCTTTACATGTCTGGTAGAGCCACGCTGCTTATAATATACTAGCTATATTATGGTTGTAGCATGGATGGTTTGGCTCGACCGGGGTATACGCTCTTACAGAATAACAGCGTAAAATGGCAGCTCAATGCTGCTGTGTTGCGTATGGTAAGTGTAGAGAACCTGGGAACCTGGAAGAAAAGGGTCTCCTTTTTACAGAAAACGAGGCATTCCATCTTAGATCTCTCATCTCAGGGGTGGCAACGTATCTGCATTTTGCTCCTTAATTAAGGATTAATGTACATTTCTATGGACCAAATTATCCTCTTACTATCAGATGGACTGTTTGCTCGCTTGTTACCCTTATTCTATAAAAAAGCTTTCCCATTCACAACACGGCCATTGCTGCGTAGCTCTACCAATTATAGTTTCAGATACGTAAAATGAAATAACTTATTGTGACTATCTACACTGGTCCTCATACCCTTGAAAATGATTAATATTATCGGATATACATGGACAAGGAGGAGAGCAGAGACGAACAATCCTCTTTATTATAAAATTGTCAACAGAACTTCTTATTTAGGAAGGATATACATATGAATATTTACAAATACACGAAAATGCACTTACTTAAACATTAGCACTTAAAAGATAAGACTTGACAGAGTTCAAGTGCAGCACATGTGATATTCGCTATATATAATATACAAACTCAACTACAATCTTTTTAGTATGGCATAAATATAACTGGTAGCATAAGTATAAGAAGAAGTTTAGATGCAGTGGTCGTTCTGCTTAGTGTTGGTTTATTAATATCTTAAATACTAAAAGTAAAAGAAAACAGGAATTAAGAGGAATAAATATACTAGCGTAGACTAAACAGTGCACAATTAATGCTACCATTTCCCTTATACGCCACATGTGTCATCTACATGAGCCTTGACAGTAACCGCAGTGAACACGATCCTTCGGTGTCCTTGCGAACTTCCGATGTAAAAGGTATGATTAGGCATTTACGAAAGGTATTAACTACCTACATTACATTTAGCATAATGCTACATTAAGCAAATATGATAAAAGCCGTGACGCACGGACAGCAACCATAAACCCGCCGAGATGTTTAACGGACAAACATTAAAGACCGATTGTCTTGTAGAGTGTGCAGTAATAATTACGCCAAATATCTCGGCATGTATAACTAGACTTATTTTAACGATGCGAAAGATACGCGTATTTCATGAAAAAGATATTCTAAGAGTTAAAAAACTAAACAAAATCTTTACAAATATCTTGGGAAAAATCAACTTGTTTATATTTTCATTTGTCAATTTGTTTAATAATATATGTTAAAAAGTAAATAAAATAAAAATAATAAACAAATTGCAATTTATAATACGATTTTTTTTGTAAGGGGGTAAATAGAAATACGTAAAGAAATAACTTAATTTGAAAATTTTATCTTCTAACGGCTGAAACATTTCCTTGAATCATAGCTAAGAATACACACTGCAAACAAAAAAACTAAATCTAAAACGATTCAACCGCTTAGGGGCTACAGTGCCACATACAGACACACGGCTCTACGTGGTAGAGCCATGCTGCAGTTATATTAGTAGTATAGTTGTATCACGAATGGATCGACTCGACCAGGGAAGGACCACGCTCTCACATAATACTTGCGTAAAATAGCAGATCTGTTTCGTATTGTGAATGTAGAGAACCGGAGACCCCTCCTACTGAAAATGAGCCATTCCATCTTAGTCCCCGCGGGTGACAACGCATCTCCATCTTGATCTATTAGCTGTCTATGGGCCACAGTACCCACTTACCATCAGGTGAACTGTGTGCTCGTTTGTCACCCTATCCTATAAAAAAAAAACAGACCACAGACTTTACGCATTTAACACCTGACACGAACAGAGGGACTGTTTGCGTCAGAGGTTAAAAAAGGAAATCAAGATAATGAATTTTTATTTCTCATAAGAACTGGGTGTTGTTTTCTAGTTAATGCTGGATTGCATAAGAGTTAAGTATAATAACATACTATCTTGTATCTTGTCACATATCTTTATAGCCCTGCACCGATTACTTAAAGCACGTGACATGACGTATAATAGGATTAGAAGTTTCGCGGTTATTTTATGGCCTAATACAATTACACTTAGTGCAATGTGTAATTCAGACTGAATCCATTTGTAGCTAAGATATTCACTGATAACATTGCAATTTGCGACCTTGACACTGCCATAATATAGGTATCGTTATCATTAGTCCTTTAGCAACTATACATAAAATAAATATATTACTCAAATAAATAATAATTTTAAAATAAATTTTACACGAATGCGTAAAGATGATTACGATGTTATCCTAATAGACGTCGACCGCGACGGCAACTCCAAAATAAAGTCGGAAACTATTAATACTAAAAGGAAATATAGAGCCACGAATACCAAAAATTCAACAAAGACATTCAGGTGTTTTAAACTAGCAGTAGCCTATCGGAAATAGGCTAGGAGGCCGCGTTAGAAACATGGAGACCTAAAAATTACGTTTTATTCAAATGAATTCACGGGGATCCGGTTATTTTTTAGGATTGAATTGCTTTATTGAGCTAGGAAGATGGATTAATAAACGCAGCACCAGACGTCTCTCACCATCGACGCTCCTGCTCGTTACCGGTTATACTAATACCTAATTACAAAGAGATTTAAATATATATACTAACTTAAATGTCTATTTTATATTAATATATAAGATCTATATTATATTTAATGTACTAAAGTACCATTTTATATTTTTATAATATATACAATATATAATAAAGTGATTATAATAGAATGAAATAACGTTCATTTACGGCTTTCTGTTACAATCACGAAGATAGTTTATTTAATCATAAAGTAAATTTGGAACATTTTTATTATAGAAGTAGTAGTATCAGCCCAGCATTTTATAATACCCTAATAGAATTCTCGGCTGATACAACTCTAGTGCCTGTGTCAGGATCAGCGGGGCCTACTAAGACTGGTTTGTTTGTCAGACATGACATGAACAGTGGTATGAAAACTCTGGAAGTAGAGGAATGTTGTGAATGGGTGTAAAGTAAAATAAAGTTACAGCCTATATACGTCCCACTGCTAGGCACAGGCCTCCGCTCATTTCTGAGAGGGTTTTAGGGCAAGGTGGTCTTCGATATATATTTTTTTCTTATTTCTCTGACATACAGGTTTCCTCACGATGTTTTCCTTCACCGCCGAGCACGTGGTAAATCAGTGCTTAAAATTGCAATTAACAATTTCATTGGTGCCGGCGGGGATCGAACCCGGTTTGCTCGCGTACTGTGAAATTTACAGCGAGCGTTAACCATCTGAGCTACCACGGCTCATGGTGAATGGGTGAGTTATGGGGAGTTATATTTGCGACCTCGTCGGGAGGATGGGGGGAGCAAGTGGATGATTTTGTGTATTACGGGTATTTTAGTAGGGATGATAGACATGAAAAATATAAATAAACAGAAAACAGAGTAAATGAGGCTCTTCACTATCGTGGGAAGTCAGATAGTATAAAGAAACTGTGTTAGTCCATAACTTGATGTATTAAAAGTTGAGTGTAGCAGAAAAAGCATTAAAGTAGCATACATTCGGACATGAAGAAGTATGTTAGGGGTGACTATGAAGTTAGCGCAAAGCACTCCTCTCCCTGGACATCCACAAGTCGAGTGGGCTTGACGGTATCCCCCCAATTGTGCTGAGGACGTGTGCTCCAGAGTTGGCACCGGTCTTAACGCGTCTTTTCCGGTACTCCTACTCTCTAGGCGTAGTCCCAAAATCATGGAAGACGACTTTCGTCCACCCGATCCCTAAAAAAGGCGACCGCTCAGACCCATCCAGCTACAGGCCC